ATTATAACAAATTAGCAATAAGTCAGCAATTGTTATTTCTAGATGGTTAAAAAATCACGTCAGATTAATCCTGTGTTTGAAGACCGCAAATTTTATGAACAATAAATAAAGTAGTAAATCAACAGACAGTATGATTACGGAGAAACCCAATTGGAAAAAACTCTGGGCACTTTTCCAATCAACAATCCACTATAAACGATTTGTAACTTACAGTCTACGGCCTAGATGACGACATGTACTTTCCTGGATTCTGTGTTCCTGCATTACTCCCAGCTGCAATTTCCAAAACTCTCCTAGATTGTGCTTTCATGCAGCAAGTTCCACATTTGAGAAATCGTTTATCTCCTGTGGATCTACAGAGAACACCGCGTTCTTCAACTACTGGAACTTCAAGTCAACTTCCCTCAATCTTCAGCAACTCTTACTGATGTGATGGAAAGAACAGTTTGGTATTTGGATTACAAAATCGATGTTTTTCTCACCAAAACAAACTCAAGAGATGAAGGTTGAAAATAGAAATATGATTGTATTCTCTCAAATAAATTTCTTTCAATGATCAACCTTAAAATTCGCGTTCAGATGTGTTTTGGTATTTATAGGTAGGTTAGAAAAGTGATGGGCCAAAGTAAAAGCCTTTAACTCGCGAAATAAAAATTTCCCGGACATCACTGTCGTTAGAGCGAGAGCTCAGCATCAATCGAGGGACGACTGTCGCTCGAGCTAAGACAGGGCGACCGTCAAGCGAAAATCCACGCTGTAGTCTTTTGCCATACTCGAACCCTTGACCTAATAAACCTATTTTCACATAATCTCCCACTACTCCTTGACTTTTTACAACATTTACAATTAAGTCCCTTTATTTACAGAATCACCAATACATACTTAAAACCTAACAAAGACAATCCATTCATTATGATGTTATTGGAATTGTAGAAGGTCAGTGTCTAAGCAAGAAAGAACCCAAAAATTACCTTGAAATTAGAATATACAACAAGATAAAATGTACATGCAAAGATTTATTGGTG